TCACAGCGCATCTCCTCTGAAGGGAACGTAGTCCAGGCAAACCTAACATCCATGAGCGGGAGACGATATCAAAACGAACAGGTCAAACAACATGATTTACCTGAGCAATCCGATGCACCAGGCAATCGTCTCTGATGAAAGTCCACAGCTAAAACATTCAACCTCAATATGAAGCTTCCCGGACCCCTTATTACCAGCTTGTCCGTCATCAGGCCCAATCGCCAGAGCGCTTTCCTCAATCGTCAAGTATAGAGAACCGATCCCGCGTTAGACGAGACCACACTGAAGCCTTTAACTTTCTATAACGTGCACAACGGACTACACTGGCCGCTGCTTTGCTTCACAGACGCCTATCGACATGCTTCGACCTAATCAACACCTGCTAATATAAAGAGCGGCCGTACAAGAACCACCACGGAAAGAAGGACAAGAAAACATACCGATTCATCGCCGATATACATGTATCACCGAGTGCTACTTACTGCCTTGATATCCCTTCGTCAACCACTGCCGTAATCAAGGACCATTCTTTAACACTACCCTACCTTAGAAGTCATCTCGGACGAGTGTCCTCATCTTGCTGAATGTTCACTAATGAATAAACCATCGGCGATGTTGGAAGTTGGTAATAACGTCAATGAGAACGCCAATGAGGAAACCATTGGGAACACCATTGAGGACACTAGTGATGACGAGGATACTGAAGGGAATGGCGATGAGAATGTCTCGACTAGTAAATCTCAGACGCGAATTGGTTGGCAACAATCATGTCACGTCGCATCACGTCGTTGCATCATTCATGGTGTCGGACCAAATTGAAGTAAGACGTAATTTCATTTCATGTCGCCCTGATCCTTTCTACAGTTCTATGAAAGCCGTAGAAGACGGCACCTGGTAGGCATTCATACTCGCCCGAGAGTCATGCCAGTGTCGTGTCGTGTGTGTGTGAAGGGGTTGTGGAGGTATATGGGGAGGAAGGCGGCGGGAAGAAAGGAGGAACTTTTAAGTGCCTTTTGATATCACCTGACCCAAATTATTCGCATCCTGCCTGGCCGTAATCTGCTCGGCCACCCAAACGCAAGAAAGTTGAACCAGATACACCGCATTGAAGCGGCCTCGTCAAAGCCGTAAACATCCTCCGCGCGAACAAAACACTAGAGATCTTTCTCACATGTTTTGAAGCATTTATCGGGAGGACATAGCCTTGGTCACGAGACGCTTGAGAGCGAGCTCCTGCTTCTTGAGCTCGTCGGCACCGCTGTCGGTGATCTCGAGGGCAGCCATGGCCTCGGAGACCTGCTGCTCGATCTTGTCCTTCTGGCCACGCTTGAGCTTGAGGGACAGCGTGGGGTCGGAGATGATCTCCTCAACACGGCCAATGTAGGACTCAAGCTGCTGCTTGGCCTCGAAGCGCTTGCTGAAAGCCTCATCGTTGGTCTTGAACTTCTCGGCGTCTAGGGAGGAATTAATATGTGCATCATGCAGTGGTTGTCGACAAGAACGTACCGTTGATCATGTTCTCAATCTCGGAGGAAGAGAGCTTGCCAACAGAGTTGGAGATGGTGATGTTGGCGCTGCGGCCGGAGGTCTTCTCGGTGGCGGTGACCTTGAGGATACCGTTGACATCGACCTCGAAGACGACCTCAAGGACGGCCTCACCGGCTCTCATGGGAGGAATGGGAGCAAGAGTGAATTCACCCAGGGAGGTGTTGTCCTCGCAGTTGACACGCTCACCCTGGTAGACGGGGAACTGAACGGTCTGCTGGTTGTCGGCAACGGTGGTGAAGGTTCTCTGAAGGGGGATGTTAGTTTTTGATCTTTACAGCGGGTCAAGAGAACAAGAAGGGACAAGTGCTCTCCACCTGCCACGGAAGTGACGGATGGAAGGAAGGCGCTGCCACGGATGAGGAAGGCGTTAGCGCCAACAGAGCGCCCATCACCATAATAGTCGCAGACAGGCGAAAACACCAAGAAAAAATCGAGAAAAATCAACGAAGTCAAAAAACGGGAAAGGAAAATGAGGGTTCCTGACTTTTTTGAGGCATGGAACATTTTGCCCACGAGTGACGACGGGAGCGAAGATGTTACCCTCCATGGCGACACCGAGGGACAGGGGGCAGACGTCGAGCAGGAGAAGGTCGGCGGTCTCGGCGGAGGTGGCCTTTCCGGAGAGGATACCGGCCTGGACGGCGGCACCGTAGGCGACGGCCTCATCGGGGTTGATGCTCTTCTCGAGCTTCTTGCCGTCGAAGAACTCGGACAGAAGCTTCTGAATGCGGGGGATACGGGTGGAGCCACCAACGAGGACGATCTCGTCAACGCCGGACTTCTCCATGGAGGCATCCTTGAGAACCTGGGCAACGGGCTCGAGGGTACCGTTGAAAGCCTTGGCGTTCAGGTCCTCGAAACGAGCACGGGTGATCTGGGTGGTGTAGTCCTCGCCATCGAAGAGAGAGTCGATCTCAATGGTGGTCTGGGCACCGCTGGAAAGGGTACGCTTGGCACGCTCGCAAGCAGTGCGAAGACGACGGAGGGCACGGGGGTCGCCAGAGAGGTCCTTCTTGGTCTTGCGCTGGAAGTCCTTCTTGCAGTGGTCAAGAAGGTTGGTGTCGAAGTCCTGACCACCCAAGTGGGTGTCACCAGCGGTGGCCTTGACGGTGAAGACACCGCCCTGGATGTTAAGGAGGGAGACATCGAAAGTACCACCACCCAAGTCGTAGATGAGGACGTTGCGCTCCTTGCCAGACTTGCCGGCACCAAGACCGTAGGCAATGGCGGCAGCGGTGGGCTCGTTGATGATACGGAGAACGTTAAGACCGGCGATGGCACCGGCGTCCTTGGTGGCCTGACGCTGGTTGTCGTTGAAGTAGGCAGGGACGGTGATGACGGCCTTCTCGACCTTCTTGCCAAGCTTGACCTCGGCAATCTCCTTCATCTGTTGAGGGGGTTAGCAAACTGCGTATTTTCAGAAGTTGTGTGACGCCGGCTTTTCATTTCCGGTCTCATCACCAGAGAGCAAAACGCACCTTGAGGAGGACCATGGAGGAAACCTCCTGGGCGGAGAAGGTCTTGGTCTCGTTGAGGTACTCGACCTGAACCTTGGGGTTGCCACCCTCGTCGACGACCTTGAAGGGCCAGGACTCGATGTCCTTCTTGACGGTGGGGTCATCGAAGCGGCGACCGATGAGACGCCTGTGAGAGAATGCTGGTCAGCGATTTGTAGTTGTGTGAATTTTTTTTCCTGCTCTCTGCCATTGCTCCGGATTACCCCTCCTTGGGCGGGGAAAATTCTCACCCACCCCGGTTAAAGTAGGAATCTAGAGCAACAGCAGACGGAGAGAACGGCGAGGCTACTCACTTGACATCGAAGACAGTGTTGACGGGGTTCATGGCAGCCTGGTTCTTGGCGGCCTCACCGATCAGACGCTCCTTGTCGGTGAAGGAAACGAAAGAGGGCGTGGTGAACGAACCCTGCTCGTTGGCAATGATTTCGACATTGGTACCCTCGTACGTGGCAACGCAAGAGTAGGTAGTTCCTGTGATGAGAGGACTCGGTCAGCCTGACACGTTCTTTCGATGGTTGTAAAACTCCTCCTCGAGTCTCTCCTTCCGTGATAGTTGATTGATGTTTGACGATATTTTGCAGCGTTGGCGGAAGTGACATTGTTCGTGATGCCTGAAGGGACCGAACCCCTCAAAGTTGAGCGGCGACCGACATCGCCACAAAATAACGCCCCTCTCAAAAAAGCATCGTCCATCAGCAACAGGAAAATAAAACTCACCCAAGTCAATGCCAATGGCACCATCGTAGACCTCGTCCGCCATTTTGAGAGATTTGATATGCACAAAGACAAAAAAACGGCCTGTGTGAATGGGGGAGGGGGAGGATTGAAGGTTGGGAGGTTTGCGCGGAGGAGAAAGATATGTGAAGGAGGGCGGGCGGGCGACGTGGGGTCCTTTCAAGAAGAATTTCTCTCGCTCCAGTCGCTCAACACAGGATTTTTGTGAAGGCCGAAAAAAAAAATCAATTTCGACTTTTTTTTCTGGGTCCCCCTAGCCCCACCAACCACCCACGACCACCCTCGACTACCCCCTCCAGCGCTGAGACCATGCTACTAGCGCGCGGGCCATGCCACAAAAATTCGAGAGATTCGAGGGCGGCGAAGCAATTTTTTTGCCATTTCATCCCGCTGTGGCCCTTGCTGGTGGGCTGTCTCTTATCTTATCGCACCCCGGCCCGCCATTTTCTCGCTTACTGCCACTCTCTTCTGTCACTGTGAGTTGAGCAAGGTACCTAGCCGAAGTCGAGTTAGGTAACTGCTGGTTGCATCCACCTGCTCTGCACCCGACTCGGGAGACTGTTTGAGAGCCTCTTGATGGTGTCTAGCAGTATTTCGGTACTTTGCAAAAGCAACAAAAGCTGTTGACATTGTCTTCTTTGGCTTCAAGTAATAGTTTGCTAACCCGGACAAAGAACTCCGTCATTGATACTGAAATACTTACCCATCCTAACTTTCAACCTGCAACTTCCCCCCTCGTCTCTCTCGTCCACATGCCTGGTTGGGCTTACCTTACTACTCCTCGTCCTCCCTCGTGCAGGTACCGGCGCTTAGCAGCTTTTGAAAGTACTTGGTCCATCATCCATGACATTGCTTTTCTCACCGCCTGACTCGACTTGGACAAGCAACCCAGATGCCTACCAGTGGACTCCCGGCTTTCTGTGGCAATCCCACGGGAGACCCCTTCCTTCCAGCGGCAAATCAGTCTCAAGTTGCCGTGGTTGGGGTTACCTACTCAACTGTTCTCAGTCTCCGCGACTGCTCGGTCAAAGAGGGACCTTCATGCAGATATGTCGGGCTCCCCGAAGTCGGTCAATTGCCCAGCCAGAAAAAAGCGTATCCCTCTTTTTGGCCGTGATACCGTCCCCAACTCAGGTCCCCCTGCACGTGTATATCGTTGCCCCTCAGAGAGTTCCTGGAGGGGTCCTTCCCAACTTGCCAATGCCTGCCAAACGATTGGCTCTCGCTTGCCCATTCAGACGAACGGCCGACGTCTTTCACGCAGAGAAACAACCCGACAATATCCCGAACATGTCGGCCGAGATTGAATCTAAGCATCTCTCTTGCGCAAATTACTCTAACCGCGGCAATCTGTCCTCGTCGGACAATTTTTCGACGCCTTTGGAGTCCCAGAGACGGGTGGAGCCGCCGCCGCTTGCAACTGTTAGTCGCCCCGGGAACCGCAACTCGCGAGCCCACAGAAACCCTCATGCACGAACCCTCGCTCCCCACATACAAGGGCCATCTCTACTACTCAGGATATAGTCACCTTCTCGCAGCCGGATTTCCAACCAGCTCGTCCGGTTTCGATTTCCGGATATCTGATCATCTGCGTCGATGGTTTAGTGGTAAAATTCTCCGTTGCCATCAAGCAGCGTCGGGGAGCCGGGGGTTCGATTCCCCCTCGACGCATTTCTTTTGCCAAATCTGCCTCATAGCCAGTCTGGACGTCCATTTTTTGTTTCTGGGATGAAGTGCTGGCTGAGTGAGGCGACTAGAGTGTCCTTGAGACCATCTTTAGTCTTTCTTGTTCATGGTCATTAAGAGAGCTGGTCATTACAAGTTTGCAGTGATCCTCTTCATCAAACCTCCTCAGTGTTGCCCTAAATCAACAACACCAGCTCACATGTCTGTCTGCCCCCTTGAGTGATATTTGGAAAGGTGTTTCGCATTGTGTTGCTCCCTCAGCTGTCAACTCAAACAAGAGTCCGCCTGATCCTCACGTACAAGCCACGCCATCAACGCCGAAAATTCACCACTCCAGGCCCAGTTAAAGCTACCTGGTAAAACCAAATTCCTAAACACCCTCATAGGTCCCAGCACGACCGGACGACGGATCGTATGCAGAGTCCGCCCCACCCTCATGGTCTCGCCTGTTGTACTCATCCCGCAGTTGATAGACGTATCTCAGGAGTTGAATGAGCAAAATGTACATCAGAAGCTGCCAGAACAATGGACGGATGATCGCAGAGAAGTATGTCGGTCTAGGTCGCCTCATCTCACATGCGTGGTCGACAAGCGAGCGCGGCGATGAATCAACCTCATCCGTGTGGCGCCAGAGGGTATAGTAGGCCGTCCGAGACTCCAACAACCTTCTCCTCTGGCTACCAATGGGCTCTTCTCCATTGGCACCCTCGACGAGCGAGACTCTCTGAACGACGGGGACAAAGGAAATCAGCACTCTCGACAACGGTGGCTCTATCGGCGGCTCTCTGAATCGACTTGTCGAAACGATAAACCCAGTAGACGTCGGGCTCAATAAGGCGTTGGATGGTCTTGGCAGCACTCCTGGATCGGGGATCTCAAAGTCACCCGGCACATAGAGTTCGTCGGGCTCGCGCCATTCAAAGTGAAGAACCTCGGGAGACAGACGAATGTTGACGGAAAGCCAAGCTGCGTAAGCCACGTCGTGGTGAATCATCTGGAAAATTGACCGGATAGAAGGGTTCGGGCCGTTCTCAGGCCAGGTCATTCTCACCCAGGTCAGGATTGGCCTTATGAGCAAGAAGGTCTTCATAGTATAATAGTCGACTTGCTTCCAAAACAGAGGTGGCAGGCCATGATTCTCTTCTAGTAGCATATTCACCGTTTTTGCTCTCAACTCCGATCGTCTGAAACCTAGTAGACAGTTAGTTGCTGTGTCTTGTTCGGGGTTGCGTGGATGAGGGTGGAGGGGAGGGGGGGAACCAACCTTCATGCTTCATGAACTGCTTGTCTTGATGGAGCAGTGAAAGTCGCTGCTGGTTGTCTGCGCCAAATAGTTGAAGTGAAAATATCTGTTCCTCGAAAAGCTTCAAGAAGAAGGCCCTCATGACTACTATCCGTTTGTAGTCGCAGGCAATCAGATCATCCCAAGGGCTCTTGTCTCGCGGATCTGGCCGGGCAACTTTCTCGATAGTACGTTCCATTTCCGAACTCTGGTCGCCAGTTACCACGGACCATACGGGTCCTGGAGGCGGAACATCGCCAACTTCGAAAATCTGCTTGGCGTGGAGATTGATATTTGATATGATGGCGGCATAGTGACGCGTAAAGAAGTCGTCTGTGAGCGAAGAACGTGGAAGGCCCCATTGCAGGACGAGTCGTTCGGGGCAAAATCCTTTCAATTCTTTGAGATCCTTGGACGCAAATGCTCTGGTTGCTGATGGATTTGCTTTCGTGTTCTTCCTGTTCTGTTGCGCCGTCGGACTGCAAGCCTCGCTACAATTCGGGCCATGTGAACCTGGGTACGTTGTTGCCATCTGGAGTGCTTTAAGGATCGATTCAAACGTAGTGTAATGCTCGAGAGGTTCGATGGGTGTTCATAGATCGGTCGACGAAATTCTAGATGGTTGAAAACCGTCAATTTAGGATAGCTTGCTCAAGAAACGATGTCGCTCTTGGTAACCAGCTATCTGTACATCGCGACCGCGTCTCACGCAGCGCCGCCTCGGTTTTATGAGTATCACGCTGCTTGCTCAACTGCGCTGTCATACGAGCATGCTCTGCAATCTAAACGGGCCGCTGTGCTCCATACTCCCGGTCGCTGTCCTTGTGGGAATCCAAGGGATGACGCGGGACAAAGAACACTCGACCATTATCATCGATGTCATTGTTGTTTGTCTCCAACAGGTTGGCACCTGGTATCGTGGTCCTATTATAGAACTTCGCAACGAGATACAGGCGATGCATACAGCCGCCTAGCAGCTACGTAGCGGAACAAAGATAACGTATCCATCTTCCACCCTGCGTTCCCCTCCTAGCTCTTGGCCGACGGTGTAATGGAAAAGTATTAGAATAAGTAGAGCAAGTGTCCTGTTCCTTTCATTCAAGTCCAGGAGCACAATGCAGCTCTCCTAAAATGACCGTCCCTCTATTCATTGAGACGACGTCAATAGAGCCTCGACGCATGTGGGGCAGAGTGTCCAATGACTGAAACAAGAGACCGACCTGGCCGAAACGAACCCTAGAGCCATCACCGCTTCAAGCCGAGCTCGACTCGCCTGAGTTTTCGATTGCAGAAGAGGGTGGTAGGGGATGACGGGAAAGATTGCCTAGCTTGCGTGTTGCTTGACTCAAGATGAAGGAATTTTGCTCAGGCCACCTAATTCGCAGGTCACCTGAGCTGAGCGGGATGGGAGCTTCATAAGAAATGATAACATTTCAAGTCATTGAATGTGATTGGCAACGGAAGGATTTAGGGAAAGCTTCTGGAAAGGTCCCCCGCAGGTTGAAGCCAAAAATATGATGGCAGTGCTTCGAGGCCAGATAAAAGCGTGATGTCGAAACAAGGATGTGTCTTTTGGCGTAGGAAGGGGCAAGGAGAAGGGGTCAGGAGGCGGCGCTCGGTTCAGGCCGAGTATGGAGAGGACCGTCACGACTGTGAAAGGCTGCAAACAGCTGGTAGATGGGTGAGCTATAGAAACAGGAAATAAAAGCAACAATCCGGATGACAGGAGCAGAAAAGTAGCAAGCACAACCCTAGGAGTCGGAAGCTTCGTCTGAGCTGTTGGACGTGGTCGAATCTGAAGGCAGGAAAGAAAAGTTATCTGACTTATCAGCCTTGAGCAATGACAGGCAACGTAAGCTAAAAGTCAACATGAACAGTTCAATACTTCTATTAGACCGCTAGTGTTGAAAAGACAGGAGGGAGGGAAGGCAACTCAACACTGGCGAAACGGATTGCATGGCGTTGAAGACAGACATTCAACAAGCCTCACAACACGACACGGAGTTACAAGGTGTGTAGGCTGACAAGTGCTACTATTGGAGCAATTGACATCCACTGGGCTGCTTAAACTTCCGCAAACCTGGTATTGAATGGGACCAGACTGACCTTGCCCTGGATTTTTCGTCTCCTTCGCTTCTTGAATAACCTGAGGTAATGGGACCGTACCCATCAGGCTAGGCTCACCTCGCCTCCGCTCTCACCTTGAGCAACGTGCCCCGGGCTCACCTAGAATCCCACTCATGTCGGGGGCTTTCCTTCGCCCTAACTAGCACCCCGGGACCGCACCTCACTGAGTGGGTGGGCATCTCTGCCTTACGTGCTTGGTGTGGCAGTTGTGCTAGGTCGTAATTGTGAGGTGCCCTGCGCAAAAAATAAAAAAAACCTAGGCCTCGCCCACCAAGAAGGTACTGAGGTACACCTTGATATACCCCACTTTTACGACGCCTTGCTCCCCTCCCGTTGGCCAAGCCCGCTTGGGCATTTTTTTGCGACTGGAAAGGCTCTCGCTCGCAGACTCAGACTTCTGTTTGCTGCGCGCAATCCCTCGCAAAGTGCAAAACCCATCGCAACTTCCCATTTCTCGACCTCGTCGTCTCCCCACGAAAAAAACAGAACGTCACCGCCCGTTCTAATCTTTCCTCTAATCCGCCCTTTCCGATCCTTGCTGACTTGCCTGGCGCAACGTCGGAATCTCCCCCACATCCGAATACCTGGAAGGAAGCAATCGCCCTCCAGTACTTTCCCAATAGTGAAGCGAGCAACCGTCGTCACCACCACCTTCAGCCACTCTCGTGCGGAACCCTCCCACTTTCCAACTCTTCCACCTTACAACCGCGACCAGCGACCTCTTTTCCCTTTGGCTTCTTCAACCTCCGAGATAGCCTAACTCGCCTTTTCCTTCAGAGATTGCTTCCCAGCGCCTCTGACGACCTATTCTACCCCTCATCGGTCCGATCCGTAATCAGCCCGAAAACACTACAACAAATCCATTCACGATGGCGACTTCTGTGCAAACACCCACGAACCCCGACCAGCAGGTCGACCTCTCCACCATTCCCATCTCCCCCGAGGGTGGTGAGAAGAGCGAGACCAAGGAGAACGACTCGGAGAAGCCCGTTACCGTTTTCCACGACAAGGAGAACTTCAACGTCAAGCACCCTCTGCAGAACAAGTGGACTCTCTGGTTCACCAAGCCACCCAGCGGAAAGGTTCGTCTATCCCGATTGGGAACGGCACGTGGCCAGATATTAACGTGGAGTAGGGCGACAACTGGAATGATCTTCTGAAGGAGGTCATCACCTTCAACTCAGTCGAGGAGTTTTGGGGTGTCTATGTACGTGCACCTTCCTTCCCCGCGGCCCCTCTTATCGCTCGCTAACTATTGACCAGAACAACATCGCCCCTGTCTCCGAGCTTGCCCTCAAGTCCGACTACCATCTCTTCAAGGCCGGCGTCCGCCCCGAGTGGGAGGATGCTCAGAACAAGCACGGCGGCAAGTGGTCCTACCAGTTCAAGGAGAAGCGCAGCATCCCCATCGACGATCTCTGGCTTCACGTCATGTTGGCCGCTATTGGCGAGACCCTCGAGGCTGAAGACGACGGAGAGGTCATGGGTGTTGTCGTCAACGTCCGCAAGGCTTTCTTCCGTATTGGTGTCTGGACCCGTACCATTGGCAAGAGCATTCCTGGCCGTGGTGACGGAGACGTGGCTGGTGGCAAGGGACGTTCGCAGGATAAGGGCCGTGACATCCTCCTGAACATTGGCAAGCGCTTCAAGGACATCCTGAACCTCCCCGCCAACGAGGTTGTCGAGTTCTCCGGCCACACGGACAGCGCACACAGCGGAAGCAGCCGTGCAAAGGCCAAGCACACTGTCTAAAGCGATGGACACAGCCTCTGAAAAGAACCACAGAAACGAATTACACAAGCTCGCACCACATGCTCACTAACGCATTTTATTGGAACTGATGGGCTCCACTACCTATCGAGAAGGCCGACTTCCGTCTGCGCGATATCACTTCTCGTTGCACTTTCTCAGCCGACTTCTTTTTTTTTTTATTTTTTGCCTGATGCCAGTGGGGGGGAATACGGGGCAATGCTACGCTATGCATCGATGATAACGCATCTCTGGGGCGGAAAAAGTTCTCTCTTATGACAGTCCTTGGAGCTCGACGAAGGCGTTTGCTGACAACGAAAAAAGAGATCAATGGGTTTTATGGAACTTCTAGACGGCCATGATCGATAGTACATAGGCGGATGCGAAATATCCGGAATAGATACCTAGGTTTAGGCCAGAATGCCCTGGTGCACGCACCCTTATGAAATGAAGGTTGTTAATTATGCTTCTCCTTCATAACAAAACATTGCCTGGTGAGTTCTATCTCATCACTACAATCTTACTTCGTAAAGGTTGCGCAGTGAGGGTCAAATGCTCAACAAGGTATTATTTTGTCTAAATTCTATGCCACATTCCTCCCTGTCCTAGTCAAACAAGCATATGTGCATCTCACATTGTGAGGTGAGTGGAGCAGTATCCGCGCACCAGTAGCTACTTATTCTTACAATTCATCACCGCTAAACTGGTCCTCAAAGACGGCCTGGACTAGTTGCTTCTTGTTGATCTTGCCCATGGCGTTGCGCGGGATGTGGTCGACGACCTTGAGCACCTGGGGAATCTTGTAGTTGACGAGCCGATCCCGGAGGGCCCTCCGCATGGCCATCGGGGACCAGTGTGGGACGACGTCCGTGTTGAGGATGACAACGGCGCCGACCTTGGAGCCCCACTTCCCCGAGGGGACGGAGACGACGGCGGCCTCGGCCACCTCGGGGAGGGAGAGCAGCTCGCGCTCGACCTCGAGGGCGCTGACCTTTTCGCCGCCCGTCTTGATGATGTCGGCGCTCTTGCGGCCCTGGATAAAGTACATGTCGCCCTTGGCCCAGGACGCCTGCGCGGCGTTGAGCCCCGCGTTCGGCACCGGTCTCCGGACGGCGACGTCGCCCGTCTTGAACCATTTCCCCTTGCCGTCCTCGCCTTCGACGAACTCCTTGGCTGTCGCCTCGGGGTTGCGCCAGTACTCTTTGAAGATTGTGGGACCTCGGAGCTGGATTTCGCCGGAGCGCTCGCGGCCCGATTTGGGGTCGACGTCTTCGCCGGGAGGGATGACGGAGCCGGTGTCCATGTCGACGAGGCGGGCTTCGACGCCGGGCAAGGGCCAGCCGACGCTGCCGTCGACGCGGTCGGCGAAATCGAGACCGCAGGAGAGGGCCATGCCGACCTCCGTCATGCCGTAACGTTCGAGGAGGACGTTGCCCTTGGACAGAGTCTTCCAGGCCTCCTTGATGGGCGTCGGGAGAGCGGCGGAGCCGGAGATGGCGAGGCGCATGTTGCGCGGGGAGACGGCTTCTCGTGTGGGCTCCGCAGGGTCGAGAGGGAGGAGTTTGTGGGTTGCGAGGAGGCGAGAGTAGACTGTTGGCACGACGGTGAAGAAGGTAATCTTCTCCTTTGCGATGTTCTTGTGTGTCCCGTTTGTGC